AATCTTTTTTATCTAGGTGCGATTGGCCACCTAAGGAATCTATCCTTTCAGGAAACACCTAAGTTTAAGGGTCCCTAAAAAATTAGGTTCGGGTCTACTACCCAGAACAGGGTTCGAGAGTTCGGTTACATGTGAAGAAGTTTATAGCACCCTCACAACACCCATCAAAAGTTGGTACCAACTTAATTTTGTGTTATCCAATAAGCCTTAAAAATTTATCAAGTAATTAATTATTAGAAATTATTCTCAATTAACTCTAATACTTTTAGTAGAAAATTAAAAAAATTTTCTCACCTTAAGAGTATGCAAGAAAACTATTGTTTCACTTGCAAAGGCTCCATCGTCGGATTATTGAACATTAAAAAAAATTCAAGAAAATAAAGAGAAAAAAACGATTGTTTTTGTATAGGAAAAATTGATACTTTCAACTTTTCTTCAAAAATCCATTTTTGAAAACTTATTTTTAAGGAAAATTAATACTTTCAACTTTTTTTCAAAAATATTTTTTAGAAAGCTTATTTTCAAGAAAAATTGATACTTTCAACTTTTCTTCAAAAATATTTTTTAGAAAGTTTATCTTCAAGGAAAATTGATACTTTCAACTTTTCCTCAAAAATATATATTTTTTAAATTTTATTTAAGAAAATAAAATAATAAAATAAATAAAAAAAATAAAAAATATTAAACAACAATAATAATAATAATAATAAATAAATAAATAAATAAACGAAAAAAAAAACCTGAGAACGACTCAGCTTAGTGGCTCGGCTCGAAAAATGACTCGGAGACGCAGGTCACACGCGGGTTGAAAGCAGGTTAGCGCTCGGGTCGGATCGTCTGACTTCAAAACGTGCGGATCTTCTGGGCACAGTGACGTCAAAACGACATCGTTTTGACTAGGTATAAAAGGCTAATTACTCTATTTTTAACAGATCGAGCCTTCCCTCTCTCTTTCTTCCCTTATTTTCCTCTCCCTTCTCTCTAAACTACAAAGAACTCCGGTTGAATCTCGTTGGATTTTGGAAATTTTCGTCGGAATCTGGATTTTTCGTCGAAAGTTCACCTAAAAATTGATCGGTTTCTGGAAATAGTCACCAAAAACTGGGAAGTTGTCCAAAAAATTCAAACTTCGCCAAAAAATTCAATCGAAATCTAGAAATATTCTAGAAATTTCCAGAAAAAAATTTGCCAAAAATTCTAAAAAAATTCTCACCGATTCCTAAAGCTATTCTAACGCATCGAAACCCTTTTTTAGCTTTTGTTTCTTCTCTGTGTGTCTTCTGTTCTATTCCAGCTACTATTTATAGGGATTGATCAGAAGAGTTTCTGGTCAATCCCAACTATTTCTGGGATTTGGATCAATCTTTGAATCCAATCCAACTCTGCCAATTCTCAAATCACAGTCAAATTCATTCCAATTTTTTTATCCTAATCCTAATCTTAACCGAAAATTAATTAAAATAAAAAGATAAATATATTAATAGATAACAAAAAAAATAGATAAAATAAATAAATAAATAAATAATAATAAAAATAAAAGCAAATAAATAATATAAATATAAATAGATAAAAAATAAAAATAAAAATATATATTAATAAATAGACAAATAATAAAAATAAAATAATAATAATAATAAAAACCCATTGGACCAACTAATTGGATCTTAAACTGGATTCAATAAACTTAGACTCAAACCCTATTGAACTAGATCCAATGACCTTAAGTCCGGACCAAATAAAATGTCTATAACGTTAAAAAATAATATTAAATCAATTCGATCCATTAACATATGAATTAATATTTAAATTATTGTGCTGGCCCAACATAACCCATTTTACACCTCTACTTGCACCATCTCAAATGATGACGACGACGATGAAAAGAGCAATAGCAATAGAAACCTTAACAAATATAAACAGGACACTTCGGGAATTCCATTTTAACAGGCATAAGATTAAGACATTGACAACGGAAAAATTTTGGCAATTATAATAAACAATTTAAAATGTCTGAGATAAAAATGAAAAAATTGCTCAGCGATTGACAAGAGATGAGCTCAACATATTCCTATGTTTCGATGCCTAAGGTTCAGATGACATCTTCGAGAATTGTGATTTTTATTGATTTTTTTTAGTTGTCGGGGTTTTCATTCGGAGAATTCACTATCATGGAGTGTAGATTCTAATATAAAATATAAATGATATATTAGTACTCGTAAGTTATTCGAGTTCAATTCAAATAAAATTCGAATTCAGTTCGATTATTATTGAGTCGAGCTCGAGTAGTTCGACTCATCGATTGAGTTGAATTCAAGTATTCTTATATCCGATTCGAGTAACTCGTAAGTTTAATTGAGTTTTTATATTTAAATATTTTTTATTATTTTAATCAATAAAATATCACGAATTCAAGTTCGAATTTAAGTACAAATAATCGAGCTCTTTCGAATTTAAGAATCGAACGTATTTTTACATATTAATCGAACGAACTCGAGTAACTCGATTTCGATTATGAATCGAACTCGAGTTAAAAAAATAAAATTCGATCAAATTCGAATCAAGTATCAAATCACGAGTTAAAAATCGAATTCGAACTCAAATTTTTTACTGTATCAATTTGACTCAACTCTATTATATTCCTATTCCAGGAGAAACAGAGCAACGGCTTGATTTCACACGGAAAAGCATATATTATATATATAATATAAAGGAAAGACATGCAGCAGGGTATAAAAGAAGCAAATTTCTTGATGTTTTCAGTACTGAAACCTGAAACTGATTTCTTTTCCCCGTAGCATTGGCTATAAGTTAATTGGCCGGAAGTTCACATTCGGATCATGTAAGTTTCTCATTCTTTAATCATTTAAGAATATCATCTCCTTGTTGGCTCTTTGCTTAAAATCAATACTGCCAGTAAACTTATAAGTTTCATTTGGATTTTTTCGCACTGCAAATATGATGAAATACAAAGGATTTTTTTTCTTTTTTTTTTTTTTCTCAATGTATGAGATGCTTTTGGATAGAACTTAATGGACAACTTCATTGTCCTTTCAGCTTGAGGAAAGGATCCAATAAATCACTAAATCTAATGCAAGAATTTTACCAATTTAAAGCTGAAATTTGAAACAAATAGTCAATAACATAATATTAAAGTTGTTTCATTTATGGGATTCAAGTGACAAAAAATTCAATTTTTCTTTAATAAGGTATTGATTTTAAGTCTTGTAAATGAAAAAATATAAATTTGAAAGAATTTGTTTTCTTATGAGATTCGAGTCGGCTCTATTCAAAGATTAATCAAGACCTAAAGTGACTTCTGAATATCAAGAGTCCCAAACAAAAAAAAAGTTATCCCCATTCAATCTAATGCGATAATTTTGCCAACTTAAACTTTAATGTTTTGTCATTTGTCTTTTAATTAGTTTTGGGGCCAACTTAAGGTTTAATGTTATGTTATTTGTCTTTTGATTAGATCTTTTTTAATCATGTGTGCCACTTAGTTTATGCAAGTCTTACATGTGTATTTTTTTTTTCTTTTCAATGGTGAAAAACTTTTTATTATTTAAATTAATTAATTTATGATTTATTTATTTTTCTTTTTTAAAATATTTTTCATAAAAATTTATACTTTTTTTTATATTTTTCAAATAATATGTTAAAAATTGATTAGTTGGGCAAAAAAGTTTTGAATAATTAGAAGTGATAAAGAAAAAAATAAAAATGATATAATTGATTAATAATAGTTACCTCACTTTTTAAATAAAATAGTAATAGATAAAATATATTAATCAACATAATAAAAACAAATTAAAAAACATACTAATTTTTTTCTCTAATTAAATCTCCACATTTCTTTAACACATACAATTCTAAATTTTTAAAATTTTAAAATTATTTTTATTTTTTAGCATTTAAATGTATTGTTTATCAATATTATAAAAAAATAAAGAAATAATACTAAAATAATTAAATTCAAATTTTTTTAGTCTCCATCTCAAATTAGATATGAATATTCAATTTGAAATGAAAAAAAATCAAATTATATAATATTATAAATAATTTTAAAATTTATTTCAATACTTTCATATGATAAATACATTTATATAATCTAATATAAATAATTTTAAAATTTATTTTCAATGACTTCATAGGATAAATACAATCGAAAATAAATTACTTTCATTTATAACTAAATCGTATAGGTTTTATAAAAAAATTTTGTTTTTACATAAAAACAAATCAAATATGAATGTTTGGATAAATCAATTTTAAAATAATTGGTTCCATTATTACAAAACCACCTCAAAATTGACTTAGTCCAAAAAAATTATTTACGTTTTATTTTTTAAACAATTTGACATCAATAGATTCCATTATCACCAAATTGCCCCAAATTTAGTTTGATTTCAATAATTAAAATTTTTACCTTTTATATTTATAATCATTTTTAGAAGGAGAAAAATATCAAATACAAATATTATTACAAAAAAATTTCATGTCTTCAAAAATACAAATTGTTTTTTGTAAATGAGAAATAATAAAATTTATTGCAAATTAATTATTTGAATTATCAATTTATTTTTTTCTTAATTAATATAATCTTTTTAAAAACTATTCTTTATAATATTTACTTTTATTTTTATTAACTAATATTATTTAATTTAAAATGAGTTTTTATGAATAAAAAAATCCGAATCAAAGCGAGGCTCCATTCTAGATCATATTAAGCATTGACTTTGAAAATTTGAGGATTGTCCTGATTTTATAATTCTGCTAATGAAAATTCCAAGTTAAACATGAAAATTGTAATTCTGCAATGAAATTTCACATTTTTTCAAATGAGAAGGACTTGACTTTGAAAATTATTACTCTTTTTTGACAATATAATTGCCCGTCAATCACGTATTAAAATACCCTTCCGTGACCGGCAACCAACACTACACTAAATTCCATAGGCGGGTCACCTAAGTGTCAGGTAATCCAATCGTCGTCTCCCACTCACAGTCACTACCAACCTCAAGAAAGAAAAAACAGAAAAACACAGCCCGAGTCAAAACGATACACGGCTCTGTTTGCCCCAACTCTTCCAGAATTTTCCTCTCCCCGATTTTTATTTTTCTCCCTCAATTTCCAGCATTATTGAAAATTAAATTTTTTTTTCCAGAATTAGAGGAATGAGCGATGCTGGTGAATGGTGACGCAAAAAATAAGGAAATTCCAAAAATAAAAAATGAAAAATCAGGGGATGGTCATCGGTCATGAAGCATGACGACGATCATGTTATCGTCGTATATGTATGACCAGGTAGTGACAG